TGATAGCTAGAAGATGGAGTATCTTGTGCCAGGTCTATGATCGAAGGTTGACAATACTGGTTTCCTCCTCCGACGTCATCGTCATGCGGGGTTTTCAGTTCTGAACTTCGATGGCATGTCCGGGGACATGTTGCCCTGGCCTGATTCTTTCAACGGCTATGGTTTTGCTTCTGGCAAACTACTTTGGAGGTCTGTAAAGCTGCTGATCGGCGATGGAGCCGCGTCGAGCTTGGGTGAAGAGGTGATCTGTCTTTTTTCTCTTTGGTGGCCGCTTCGGTGGCGTCGAAGAAAAGGAACAGGCGCTGGTATTTTGCATAGGATTTTCCTATCTTTTCAGTCATGTATGGCTGGTGCTTATGTGCCTTGTAACTTGATCATTATTCTATATAAATGAGACACGTATTACCATGCAAAAAAAATACCCAGGTGCTACTACGAGCATTAGTAAGGTACACATCAATAACATGTATATCAAATATACCTTTCACTTTGCCATCCTTCTTATCCGCCAAATACTTGGGCAGTTTCGCTTCCAGTGACCAATCCCTTTGCAATAGAAGCACTCAGTTTCAGGCTTAAGTCCAGACTTGGGTTTCTTCTCGGGAGTAGCAACTTGCTTGCTATTCTTATTGAAGTTCCCCTTCTTACCTTTGCCCTTTTTCTTGAAACTAGTGGTCTTGTTAACCATCAACACTTGATGCTCCTTCTTGATTTCTACCTCCGCAGCCTTTAGCATTGCGAAGAGCTCGGGAATTGTTTTTCCATCCCTTGCATATTATAGTTTATCACGAAGCCTTTATAGCTTGGTGGCGGTGATTGAAGAACTCTGTGAATGACACTATCATCAGGAAGATTAACTCCCAACTGAGTCAAATGGTTATGGTACCCAGACATTCTAAGTATGTGTTCACTGACAGAACTATTCTCCTCCATCTTGCAGCTATAGAACTTGTTGTAGACTTCATATCTCTCAACTCGGGCATTTGCTTGAAATATTAACTTCAACTCCTGGAACATCTCATATGCTCCATGACGTTCAAAACGTCTTTGGAGTCCTGATTCTAAGCTGTAAAGCATGGCACACTGAACTATCAAGTAGTCATCAGATCGAGCTTGCCAGACGTTCATAACATCAACATCTGCTCCTACAGCAGGCCTTGCACCTAGCGGTGCTTCAAAGACGTAATTCTTCTATGCAGCAATGAGGATAATCCTCAAGTTACAGACCCAGTCTATGTAATTGCTACCATCATCTTTCAACTTAGCTTTCTCTAGGAACACATTAAAATTCAAGGGAACGGTAGCACGGGCCATTGATCTACAACAACATAGATATGCAACAAAACTATCAGGACTAAGATCATGATAAATTAAAGTTCAATTAATCATATTACTAAAGAACTCCCACTTAGATAGACATCCCTCTAGTCATCTAAATGATCACGTGATCCATATCAACTAAACCATGTCCGGTCATCACGTGAGATGGAGTAGTTTTCAATGGTGAACATCTCTGTTGATCATATCTACTATATGATTCATGTTCGGCCTTTCGGTCTCAGTGTTCCGAGGCCATATCTGCATATGCTAGGCTCGCCAAGTTTAACCCGAGTATTTTGCATGTGCAAAACTGGCTTGCACCTGTTGTATGTGAACGTAGAGCTTATCACACCCGATCATCATGTGGTGTCTCGGCACGACGAACTGTAGCAACGGTGCATACTCAGGGAGAACACTTATACCTTTAAATTTAGTGAGGGATCATCTTATAATGCTACCCCCATACTAAGCAAAATAAGATGCATAAAAGATAAACATCACATGCAGTCAAAATATGTGACATGATATGGCCATCATCATCTTGTGCCTTTGATCTCCATCTCCAAAGCACCGTCATGATCTCCATAGTCACCGGCTTGACACCTTGATCTCCATCGTAGCATCGTTGTCGTCTCGCCAACTATTGCTTCTACGACTATCTCTACCGCTTAGTGATAAAGTAAAGCAATTACATGGCGATTGCATTTCATACAATAAAGCAACAACCATAAGGCTCCTGCCAGTTGCCGATAACTTTTACAAAACATGATCATCTCATATAATAACTTATATCACATCATGTCTTGACCATATCACATCACAACATGCCCTGCAAAAACAAGTTAGACGTCCTCTACTTTGTTGTTGCAAGTTTTACGTGGCTGCTACAGGCTTCTAGCAAGAACCGTTCTTACCTACGCATGAAAACCACAACGATTTTTCGTCAAGTGTGTCATTTTAACCTTCGACAAGGACCAACCGTAGTCAAACTCGATTCAACTAAAGTTGGAGAAACAGACACCTGCCAGCCACCTGTGTGCAAAGCACGCCGGTAGAACCGGTCTCATGAACGTGGTCATGTAATGTTTGTCCGAGCCGCTTCATCCTACAATACCGCCGAATCAAAGCAAGACGTTGGTGGTAAGAAGTATGACTATTATCGCCCACAACTCTTTGTGTTCTACTCGTGCATATCATCTACACATAGACCCGGCTCGGATGCCACTGTTGGGGAACGTAGAATGCAATTTCAAAAAAAATTCCTACGATCACGCAAGATCTATCTAGGAGATGCATAACAACGAGAGGGGGTGAGTGTGTCCACGTACCCTCGTAGACCGAAAGCCGAAGCGTTAGGTTAACGAGGTTGATGTAGTTGAACGTCTTCACGATCCAACCGATCTAGCACCGAACGTATGACACCTCCGAGTTCAGCACACGTTCAGCTCGATGACGCCCCTCGAACTCTTGATCCAGCAAAGGGTTGATGGAGAGTTTCATCAGCACGACAACGTGATGATGGTGATGGTGATGCGATCCGCATAGGGCTTCACCTAAGCACTACGACGCTATGACCGGAAGTGTAAACTATGGAGGGGGCACCGCACACGGCTAAGAGAACAATTGATGTGTCTTTGGGGTGCCCTGCCCCCGTATATAAAGGAGGGGAGGAGGAGGCCGGCGGCCAAGAGGGGCGCGCCATGGGGGGAGTCCTACTAGGACTCCACTCCTAGTAGGATTCGCCCACCCCCTTTCCTTTCTTCTACCAGAGGGAAAAGGAAGGGGAGGGAGAGGGAGAGGGAAAGGGGGGAGCCGCCCCTCCCCTAGTCCAATTCGGACTTGCCAGGGGGGCGTACGGCCACCCCTTGTGGCCCTCCTCTCTCTCCACTAAGGCCCATGTAGGCACAATACTTCCCCGGGGGGTTCCGGTAACCTCTCGGTACTTCGATAAAATATCCGAACCACTCAAAAACCATTCCGATGTCCGAATACTACCTTCCAATATATGAATCTTTACCTCTCGACCATTTCGAGACTCCTCGTCATGTCCGTGATCTCATTTGGGGCTCCGAACAAACTTCGGCCACCCAAATACATAACTCATAATACAAATCTCGAACGTTAAGCGTGCGGACCCTACGGGTTCGAGAACTATGTAGACATGACCGAGGCACATCTTCGGTCAATAACCAATAGCGGAACCTGGATGCTCATATTGGTTCCTACATATTCTACGAAGATCTTTATCGGTCAAACCGCATAACAACATACGTTGTTCGCTCTGTCATCGGTATGTTACTTGCCCGAGTTTTGATCGTCGGTATCCTCATACCTAATTCAATCTCGTTACTGGCAAGTCTCTTTACTCATTCTGTAATGTATCATCTTGTAACTAACTCATTAGTTACATTGCTTGCAAGGCTTATAGTGATGAGCATTACCGAGAGGGCCAATAGATACCTCTCCGATACATAGAGTGACAAATCCTAATCTCGATCTATGCCAACCCAACAAACACCTTCGGAGACACCTGTAGAGCATCTTTATAATCACCCAGTTACGTTGTGACGTTGGATAGCACACAAGGTGTTCCTCCGGTTTTCGGGAGTTGCATAATCTCGTAGTCAGAGGAACATGTATAAGTCATGAAGAAAGCAATATCAATAAAACTTAACGATCATTATGCTAAGCTAACAGATGGGTCTTGTCCATCACATCATTCTCTAATGATGTGATTCCGTTCATCAAATGACAACACATGTCTATGGTCAGAAAACATAACCATCTTTGATTAACGAGCTAGTCAAGTAGAGGCATACTAGGAACACTTTGTTTTGTCTATGTATTCACATATGTACTAAGTTTCTGGTTAATACAATTCTAGCATGAATAGTAAACATTTATCATGATATAAGGAAATATAAATAACAATTCTAGCATAATTCAGGATGCGAGAGGAATCGAGATTCTTCGATGAGGTCGAGAACGGAAATGACAGTCTTGCAGTTCCTCTCCCAAGTGTTTAGAGGCAGAGCGCCGCCAAATTTTTAAGTCAGCGCGAGTACGTTTGAGAGCAGCCACAAGGGAAAGCGAGTGGTTTGAACAAGTGCGTTCAGGTAGATGATGGCACTTCGTATTTGAGTTGGTCTTTCCGGCTTCAATCCTCTTTAAATTTGTCTGTGACTTACTCCGTATAAGGCAACAGTCAAATTAATATTTCTATGAAACTTTTGAAGTGTTTGTTTTGAATTTTGTTTCAAACTAATAAAGGGCGCAGTGCAAACGAGCACATAATCCACTCTCCCGTTCCGCAAGCAATCCCTTATCCATTTCCGAGCACCACTGAATATCCACCCCTCGAGATCCCCGGCCCATCTCGGACTTTGACAGCCGAACCTTGATTTGTCGGTAGCATCAGCAGCGGATAAACCACGCCCACCGGCTCCAGGCCGATCCGGACCCTCCATCTCCACAAAACCAGCGCAGCCGACGGCCGCGATCCACCGCCCTCCTCCTGTGGCCACGGAAAAGGCCCGCAAGAAAGGCACCGCGGCCGAGCCAAGTCCACCGCCGGGAGAATCCACGCCCACCACACCTCGCCCCCGCCGTCCCCCGATAAAAATCCGCCGATCCTTCCTCCCTCCCTCCGTCCGCGATCCCTCCCTGCCGCATTTCGAGCGATGGCCGACTCCGCCGCCCTCTCCTCCTCCCTCCCGCGCTCGCTGGCGTCCAGGAGGCCCCTCTCCTCCCCTCTCCGCGGCGGCGGGAGGCCCCGGTCCCCGCGCCGCTGCCGCCCCGGCTCGCGGCTGCGCGCCCGGGCCAGGAAGGGCGAGCCCGAGGACCTCTACGGGCCGTACCCGTGGGAGCAGCCCCTGGATCTCACCACTGGGTTCGGTAAACTCGCGCCCCCGGATCACTCTCCTGTTTGTTGACCCAGCGCTTCGACCAGTGATGTTTTCTTTATTCCGAGAGACAAGTGATATTCATGCTGCGGTCGCTGTTGCGTGCTTCGTGGGAAGAGATGGTAGTAGTTGGTAATGGGACAGGCGGCTGTGCTCATCGTTGGGCAGAATGTCGATTTGTTTCCTAGGGGGTTCTGTACTGTACTGATCTGTGTGTACCATGCCGTTGCGCCCTGACGGGTTCGATCTGCGTGTCTTTCTCCTGGCAGATATCGAGTGGGTGCAAGAGGATAAAATCACGCTCTTCACTTCCGATGGGCTTGTTCAGATAGGCGGTAACATGGTGCCTCGCCGAGTCACCGCTTCCGAGGTACTGAATCTTGTTGAGCTGGAACTACAAACCTCCCTCCTGCGTCATACTGAGCGAAACTATCTGAGCAGCTATATGTCAGATCCTTGTTACTAGTAGTATGACTAAAATGGAACTCCATTTCGGGACTGAGATGTTATGCATATTGCGAACACTGTTATTCGGTGTGCATGAATATGTAAGCGGTATATGCCGTCCTTCCGGTTTCCATGGAAATAACTTTGTGTTATTTCTATTTGTTCACTGTACCACAAAGTCCGATTCTATTTAGTTTGATCAGCCATGAATTGTTAACTGGAATTTATCTAACACCGGGAAATATGCGTAACTAGAGTTTCTATAACACTTGGAAATGTATATTAAACAGGGAATCATGCTTACACCTTTGGTTACTGCATTCGGGGCAATACCAATTTTATTGTGCATGTTAAAAAGATTCAGCTCTTTTCACATTTTACTTACGTTATCATGCAATAATAAAGCATATTTATCGGGAATCAAGACTGTAAAACCTTGAAAAGCAGCACCATATAGGAGTATATTTGAGCGCCATATTCATTTCAACCACTGTACTCACTGAATGCTAATTGCCTGAAAGCTTACAATATTTTTTTGTATCCTGGGAATATCGACTCAGCCATTTCTTTTTTGTTTTGTTGTGGATTCAAGCTTATTCATGCATACTTGCTGAAGTTGCTTTATCCTGGCGTCATCAATATTTTGTATGTCATCCTCATGTGTGTTAAATTTGGCCAGAAGAGGCAACAAAAAGGAAAAGGCAAACTCCGCCGGTTTCAGGAGAGCTCTTACATGGATCCAAATCAAAGTCTTTGCCTTGGAGCACTATTTAACATTGCAGCTACAAATGTAAATATTTCTTACCACTTATGTGTGTTTGATGTTTATGTTTTCGTATAGTAATACCATGTGATATATCTATCAGGGCCTAGACATGGGTAGAAGATTATGCATCTTTGGCTTCTGTCGGTCTATTGAAATGCTGAGCGATGTGGTAGAAGATACCGTCTTGGAGCATGGTGGCGAGGTACTTATGTTACCCCTGGAACTATATGTGCCTCTGTAATATTGACAATGTGCAGTCATTGGATTCCTCAAACTGCAAAATCAAAGCTTTATCTCCAATTGAACATCCTTTCAAACTTAAAAGGGTGCCATTTTTGTTCAGATTGTGACTGCAGAGAAGGCGAGTAGTGACGGCCTTCAGGAGAAGCTGACCATGTCGGTGGCGGTTCCGTTGCTGTGGGGCGTCCCTCCGGCATCGGAGACCCTCCATGTCGCTGTGCGAAGCGGTGGAGGCATCGTGGACAAGATCTACTGGCAGTGGGACCTGTTCTAAGAGCTCAGAGCCCCCAGACACTGGTTGACAAATAATCCACCCCACCCACACTGTATATATGATCCTTAACTGGCCTGGCTGCACACATTGTGTCAGCATGCAACTGTGTTCGTGTCCTTGTGCGCAACCAGCAACAAACATGGTGTATACCTGTACAGACCTGATTCCACTGGTGCATATAAATAAATAAAAAGGGTTCCGAATTCACAGCTCATGTTCAATCTATTCCTGTTTTCGATAGCATTGCTGAATTGGCATCTGGAGTTGTGCTGGAGGAAAGCACTTGCACCCAATGGTAGGTGCTTTGAGTTTTATATCTGTTGACCTGGAGATTTGAGGTAACCGTGAGCACATGGCTTGTGGAAGTGCTTGGTCTTGAAAATTATGGTGACAACTCAGATGCAGTAGTGCGTCGTGCGGATGGCATCATGCAAAAGTTTTCATGACTGGGCAAACTAAGCAATACTCATTTTTATCCTTATAAATTGTTGGCAGGTTCTTTTGTCAGCCTGACAAGAAGATGATTAAAAATGGGCATTTACAAGATGATTAAAATGGACATTTTCTGGTGGGCATCTGACCTAGTTTCATTAGATTTATCAAAATACATATTTTTATATATTGTAAATATTTTAGGTTGCATAAACATTAGCACATTTTTCATAAACTTGGTTAATCCTCAAATATAAAGAAATTTAACTTCATAGAAGTAGAGCTGCATGTAATTTGCAACAGCAGAAGTAGTAAAGTTTGCTGCAGCGGCTGCAGTCGACCATGAAACAGAAAGTGAGAGTAAGGGGGTGTTTGGTTCCAGGGACTAGACTAAAAAAAATCTCTTTTAGTCCCTATGTAACCAAACAAGAGGGATTTTTTCTACAGGGACTAGAAAAAGACTCTACTAGAGGGTCTTTTTTCTTTAGTCCCTGGCCCACCAAAAAAATCTAGTCCCTTGCAACCAAACACCCCCTAAAACTCGCAAGAGGATGACGTTTTGGTGCACAGACTCATCTACACCTGCCATGAACTATAAATTTGAAAAGAGCAATTTCTCTTCTTTTTTTAAATCTGGTACAGAGGATGCTCGAGTGTGCTAGGAGTGTGCATAATTGAACGTATGATATTTGAGGAGCTCTAAAAACAATCGGTTGTCAAAGAAACTTCGAAAGAAGACATTCTAGAGACACGGATTCATTAACAAACAATGCATTGGTTTTGACTCGACTCTCTCTCGATCGCTACGACGTGGGCAGGCCCTGCGCCAGCCGCAACACGTGAAGGCGTGGAGCAGCGCCCGGCGGCCACGATGCACGTTACACACTACTCATAGTCATAGATAAGTACGATGTCCTTGTCGGTCAAGGAGAGTTTAATCAAGTTCACCCCCCTCTCTAGTAGAAAAGAAAGGTTCATCAACAGTTCGACACCATGACATCCCTCTAAAATAAGTTTAACACCATGACAAGTGTGCCAGTAAAACT